CTCATCCATGGCAATGAGCATTATTGCATGTTTAATGCATTTGAAAATGTTGTTGTTTTAAGAAAAATGGATGAATAACTTAGTTGTTGTATTAACTTAGTTGTGTGTCCTTGGTAAAAGTCTAGAAACCCGCATGGTTAGGTGTCGAACCTTCCAGTCTAGTAGTGCTTGTAACATACCTGCAGACACGTCCTAGAGATTCACAATGTTATATTCATCGCCCTATTTTCTATTATAAAGGAAATGATATCACGATTTGAGATATAAGCTTGGCATTGCACAATTTTGAAAATACAAATGAAAATGTTTTGGCACGAGCATTGCATAATCATTCACCTTATATCTTTGTTAAGATTCATAAACTATGTTGTAGTATCTCTAATGGGCTTTGGCTCACCCTATGTGGAAAAATCATTTTCCAGTGCTAATGATATGCCTCTGCCATGGCAATAGTTTGGGAAGACTTGGAGCAAGAGCTTCATTTTGTTTCCTTGTTGTAATTATTGTTGTACAAGTTTAGGGTTTTACCTGTATTGAGTTTAAAAACTCACTTTTGTTGTAACCAACCATTGTCTTGGAAAATTGTAAGCTTTTAGGGCATTTCTTGTTTGTTTTAAATCTTATTTCATATATTTAACTTGTAACACATGCTATAGATTTAGAGTTAGGACTTGTGAATGTATAACTGCATGTGCTATCTTTTGTATCACGGAATCATATGAAATGGAAGTATACTTATTTTAGAAAAACTATATTTATACATCATTGTCATTTATTAATATTATGGATGGTTTATTGTCGTTGATTTTAGGGGGTTACAAAACTAGCTCATTCTAATCACGAACAGATAAAGATTAGGTGAATGTCACTATAACACCCCAAAGAAATTAACCTAAATATACTCATTATCTTCCAACAACATAATCTTGTTTTCAAAAATTAATAGCTTCCATTTCTTAAAATATATGAATATAAAGTCTCATCATTAACATCATCACCAATCTCTAACATTTGTATTCATTAAACTCTAGAGATTTACAAAAAAAAAAAAAAAAAACTCCACATGCAATTATACATTCAACATTCCTAGAATATGAATCTATAACATGTGTCACAATAAATCAAGTGTAATTCAATGCCCTCAAGGGCTACAAATTCCAAGGCTTAAGCCCGATTACACAAAAATAGTTTCTGAAACCCATACATATAAAGCCCTTGGCTTGTCAAAAACAATTACAAGAAAATAAAAGAGCCTTGTGCTCTAAAAATACATTCCACGCCTTTAACTCAGTAGGATCACCACATCCTTTCCTGTACAAAATCTCATAGGGTGAGCACAAAGCCCAGTAAGAAGATCTTAACAAAGCATATACATTTTATACAGTCTCCTGAAATGAATGCTTATGCCATATCATGCTCAAAACACATATCTCTATCCTTTGAAAATCTTGTGCTTGATGCAATTTGAAAACATAACAATTCAATAACATCAATGTAGTTTCAATGGGTGGTAAATACGACTCAGATAATTCCTAGGTTGGTGTCTGCAAGTAGGCATATCAAGCACTACCAATCACTACTTTATCGGTTGCTAACCGAAACGCATGTGGTACTTCCTCCGCGCGTGTTTTTAGTCTTTCACGATAGACACTCAGGCCAACTTAACCCAATACCAACTACACCCCCTATCCAGACTTACCAACATATTTACCCCAAAATTTTTTAAAATGATCTTGTTTCACAAAAAAATTCCTTTCTCAAAGCAATAATTTTTCAATGCAAGATTCAAAATCAATTACAATAATGATTTAATGGAATGGCAATACAAAATGTAACAATGTATTAATATAGTTTCATTTTCAATTCCACCACATAGTCCTCCATTGTGATCAATTTCCACATCTCTTATCAATGTACCATCATAATACATTTTTCCAAGAGATAACATAACAATATCATCATTCATGCATTTTCTACATATTAATCATCATTTTTAAAATTTGGTCTTTCCAAGACAAACAACAATAAGCCATTCCCTAAGCTTGCCAAATCAACAATTCTCATTTTTCTCATGAAATTTTCTCATTTAATACAACTATAGAAATTTCTTCCATCATTTACTCCCCTAACAATTCATCAAGTATAAATTTCACAATATCTCAACTTTTTAGGGTTTTCACCAAAATTAGGTTTTTGTTCCATTTTTTAAAATTTTTCTCCAAAATAACACCCACACTTCAAAACATAACTCATATTCACAAAAGCTTTGGAAAAAATAGAGAAAATCTACTTCTAATATCATCTAGGGTTCATCAACCCAAACTCATGATCTGTACGTGTAAAAAAATACTCCAAACAAGCATAGACTTGCAAAAACATATATATAACTCTAAGAATATCCCTGCCTCAAGCTTGGGAGAGGAAGGAGATAAAAACCCTAAAGCTCAACGTTAATGAAAACTCGATTCAATCGGTATAAACGTAACCCTCGTCGTCCTTTTCGAAGTGGTGTAAAATGCCCTCTCAAATTTTTGAAGATTTTATCTAAATCTTAGAGAGAAGTTTGGATTTGGGTGTGTTGGAAAAGAGAAAGAAGAGAGAAGATGAGTATTGCGAGAGAGAGAGAGAGAGAGAGAGAGAGAGAGAAAAGTGAAAAAGTGTACAAAACATGTTTTTGACATCAGCTTTGAGGAAAAGAATACAAAATTTGAGACAGATGCACCGAAATCTGCATAAGCAGTTTGAATTCTGCACGAGCGGAATCCCAATCCGCATGAGCGATTTCGAATGCCTCCACGAATGGTTTTCTCCAGAGAAAACTCAGATTTTTCACAGAAAATCCGCTCGAGCGGAACCCAAATCCACACGAGCGATTTTGCCTAGAAATTTTCCAAAAAACTCTTTGTGATTCCGCTCAAGCGGTTGCCAAATCCGTACAAGCGGTTTTGCTCAGAAAACCCAGAATTTGGTTTTGTATCCCAAAACAAATTCCAACTCCTAAACCTCGAAGTTTTTAACCCGAAAATGTTAAGGAAGGTTAAGTAAGAGTAGAAAAGAATTCTCAATGACCCAATACTATAAATAAAACGTCGAAAGTAAAGCACACCATCCGACTATACAATACTATTCAAGTCCAAGACCCAAGACATTATAGTCACATTAGCAAAAATATTGAGTTGACTAGCTTCTAGCTTACTTCTAATATTTAGTCAAACACTATCCATTATGACATAAGATAATTTACAATTTTGAGTAGATAAATTTTTAGGCTTTACAAAATGGGTTCTGTTTAAGTGTGCAACCCCCTCAAGGTTGCACACCATATGCAACCGAATTGTCAGCCGTTAGATTACAATAATTGATCAAGACCATTGAATTGTTTAATTGTGAAAAAGTTGAAACCGGGGCAACCGGTTAATGCTCGTATTTGCATGATTGCATCCCACTCACTCTCTGTATTTCGTCCCTATCTCTCTCTGTTCTCCTCTTTGTGTAAGGTTGGGTCAGTGTAACTGTTGATTTCCATTAACAGCGAGAAGCCCCTGCCGGGTTCGTTCCATTGACGAAGCTCTGTAGGGAACAGTATAACGGGCGATTTCCAACAACAACGTAACTACAAGCCTGTGTTGGTTCCATTGCTGAAGTGAAGCCCTTCTCTCCAACTAGATATGAGGTATGGAGCTATCTCCCTCTCTCTGTCTCCCTCTCTGTCTCTCTGGCCTCTTCACTTCAGCTATTTTCCGTCAACTAAACCCCCATCCTAACTTTAACCGCTCTACGCTTCGCTCAAACGGAAACCCCTCCATTGGAAACTAACATTTCTCTTTCTCAAGCAAGTGTTTGTGTTTTCACAAACAACTAAACCGTGTGAAAATGTCATGTTTGTGTTTGTGTTAACATTTTTCGGTTATCAAGTAATTGTTTGTACTAATGTCATGTGCAATATGGCCCGAGCGGAAGTTAAAAGGGTAGGTGATGATTATGACATTCCAAATGAAGCAAATGACATTCGTTTGATGATTGAAAGTCGGGTGGAACCTTATCATGGTTGCGAAGCTGGGCCGAGCAATGAAGAAGCAACCAACATGAAGGTTGAAGATGGCGGAGCCGATGTGAAAAAAGAAATGGTTGACAATGCTCATGGCAATGACATGGTTGGTGATGTTGAACGTGCTATTCTGGAACAGAAATTTGATTCGGTCGAAGATGGAGAAGCTTTCTACAATGCGTATGCTAAAGCCAAGGGATTTAGTATATGAAAATCCAGATTTAACACAAATAAAGAGGGAAAGGTCGTTAGTAGGCAGTGGTTGTGTTCAAGGGAAGGTCAGAGATTACCAATATACTTGGACCGTGTTGCTGAGAAAAGTAGAGCTCCCAAGGCACTAACAAGAGTATGTTGCAAAGCCTAATTTCGCATACGGTACGATGCAGATGCTGGTGAAGGGGGAAAGTATGTTGTGACTCACTTCGTTGCAGACCACAACCATGAATTGGCGGAACAACACTGTGTGATGTATCTGAGGTCACATCGCAGTTTAAACAGCGCTGACAAAGCTCAAGCAATGGCTATGCGCAATGTCGGTGTGAAGACTAGCCAAATCATGGACTATATGGTAAATCAATCCGGGTCTTATGAGAATGTTGGTTTCGTCCGTACGGATCTGCACAACCATATTCAAGCCGAACGTAGAGCAGAAGTTGAGGATGGTGATGCGCAGGGTGCGTTGGTTTACCTATGTGCAAAACTTGATGTTGATGCATGTTTTTTTTTACAAGTATGATGTGTGTAACGATAACAAGTTACAAAATCTGTTCTGGGCAGATTCGAAATCGCGGGCCGACTACGCAAAGTTTGGTGATGTGTTGATATTTGACTCAACTTACAGAACCAATGCATACAAGAAGCCTTTTGTCATGTTGGCTGGTGTGACTAGCCACTTTAGGACCACGATATTTGCATGTGTTTTGCTAGCTAATGAGACAATTGAGACATACACATGGGTTTGAAAACATTTATGGAGGCGATGGGCAATAAAGCACCTGTGTCCGTACTGACAAATGGGGATAAGGCGATGCGAGAGGCAATCAAAAGAATATTTCCAGACGCAAGACATCGATTATGTAATTGGCATCTTGGGAAAAATGCTGTTTCAAATGTTCACATAAGTGGCTTTGCACATGCTTTCAAGCAGTGCATGGACATGGAAATGGATGAGACAAAGTTTGAGCATGGCTGGACGACAATGGTCGAAAAATTTGGACTTCAAACCAACAGTTGGGTGTTAGAGACATATGAGAAGCGTGGACATTTCTTTGCTGGGATGAAGAGCACTCAGCGCTCGGAGTGTATGAATGCTTATTTCAATCCCTTCCTCCAACACAAATTGAAGCTATATGAATTTGTTAGGCACTATGATCGGGCTCTTGCAAGGATAAGGTATAACGAGGCTGGAGATGATGCTGAAACAAATAACACTTTTTCGGTATTAATTACTCCATTGCGAGATATAGAGAGACATGGAGCTGAGCTATTCACCCGAAATATATTTACAATGTTCCGTGATGAAATCTTAGAAGAGGGGAAGTTGAATGTCAAGGACGTGTTCCCTTTGCCGGATGGTCAGAAATGCTACTATATTCATAAGTACAAAGTGAAGGACAGATCATGGATAGTAACACACAGTCCAGTGGATGCTGCAATGAGATGTTCTTGCATGAAGTTTGAGTCGTTGGGGCTACCTTGCTGTCACATGATATGTGTTATGAAAGCCAAAAATTTAACGCAAACTCCCCCAACTTGTGTGCTGCATAGATGGACAAGGGCTGCAAGCAAGGATGGCCAGCAATGGCCTCAACCCTCAATTGATAGCACTACAACACAAACGGCCCGGTATGGGATATTGAGTTCTTCGTACAACGAAATGTGTTTCTATGCCTCGCAATCAACGGAAGGTTTCAAAGAGGCTAGGGATGCATGTCTTCCGATGACGAGCCGGATGAAGGAGTTATATAAGAGGAATCTGAACGACGGAAATGGAGACAAAGGGAAACATTCATTCCCTTGACAATTTGGAGTAGAAGATCCTGATGTTGTGAAGACAAAAGGGAACCCAGGACGGGCCTCGTCCAACTGTCGAAGACCAAGAAAATGTGGGAATTGCAAATGCATTGGGCACACAAAGCGAACGTGTCCTAAGGTTCGGTTTAGCCGAACAGTGGGTACTAACTCGGATGCAGATACACCCCACATAACTGAGCGTGAGTACAATGCAGAGTCATTGCCCGTTCGCTGCAAAACTAGGTTAGTGGATCCAAGTACACCGCACATTAAGCAACGGCGACTATTTTTCGATGCTTCTCCTGATTCCAAGCAGCCTGCGGGCCAATACGGTAGTGTTGAAGCAGCAGTGTGCAAAAATGATTCGACCACAATTGATGAGGTGAATCAGGTAATTGTATAATTTGTATGATTTACTTATTCCCTTAATTTATTAGGTAGACAGTACTAGCTATTGAAAACACATGGAAATAATGTATGTAGTTTTCATTTTGCACGGATTGCTGTACGTAATGTATAAATCATTGGTTACGTACAATGCCAGGAAATGGCACAACGTTACCTATGTACAAGGCCACGAGTTGTAAATTTCCCATATTGTTTAGAGTGATGTTGTCATTTGTGTTTGCAATGACTTTTCATTTTGAAAACTAATTGAAGGTGAGATATATATGGGTTGTCTGTATTGTTTTGGGTAGGAAATTGGCTTATGTTTGTATTCCAAGATTCCTATTGCGGGTTGCTTGTTTGTGTTCCATATTTGGTTGGATCTAACTGAGGGGGTTTTTGCGGTGTGGTTTATCAACTAACGATGTGTTTGGCTTCGTATTGATTTGGTATGACTTATTTCGGTAAATTAGTATTATATTTCGAGTAAAATACGAATTTTGTCCATGTGGGTTTGCAAAATTACATACTAGCACATGCATTTTGTATATAATCCAAGTGGCAGTTAATTTTGGGTGTTACTTGGAGAAAGTAACCCAACAAACTCGTTACTTTATCTCCATGCCGATTGCTATATGAATTACGAGTTACGAACAGGAGTTGTGAAATTATTTCATGTTAACTATGAAAGTATGGGTTTATTGTTAGTCAAATTATGGTGGGCCTATATCAACAGCAACGAAGCAGTAATTTAAAGTTGACAAGTTGAAGAAGAAAATCAAGCAATTGTGGTATTGGTTTGAATGCCTGAAAAGGATGAAGACTTCTTTCGATGAACTGATGGTAACAAAGTAGAAAGTAACAAAGTAGAAAGTACAAAGTAAGTTGTTGTGTTGTTGTGTTGTGTTGTTTGTAACAAAGTAGAAAGTAGAAGGGAAAAAACTACTCAGAAGTTGCAATGTAGAAAGTAAGTTGTGTTGTTGTTCATGTCCTCTCTCTCTGCAAACATTCTTCCCTTTATAGCTATTATTTCCCACGACCCCATGATCTGCCGATTCTACAACTGCTTCTGTGCAACTTCTGTAACTGCATGGTCATTTCCGTGTCTTCAAACCACATAAAACCTTCACTTGTACCTGTCGAAGTGCATATAATTGAAGTTGCCACTTGTGCCCAAGTCTTTTTAGCCTTTCCTCGACAGATACAGACTCCCAATTCGTTCATGTTTCCTCTTGGAGGCTGGCCACTAAATCCATGAGCACTGCCAGTAACTGCTCCAGCGTGTAAGTCAGGTGGCATGCAAGATTCAATGTTAGTTGAATGGAGTAGCTATTGGGAGGATGTGGGAAAAATAGGTGCAAAGAGGAATTTTTAATCTAATATCCAATAATAATTTAGCTGAAAATATGAGTGAAATTTTTTTTAAAAAAAAAGTAATTTCAGTTTTTTTTATTACAAACCCGAGATGTATATTTTGTTTTTGATGTAAATAAGTTGTGTATTTTCGTTAAGTAAAATGTAGGACAACAATTGTGTTTAAGTCATTACAATACAGAAAAATGTTATTTCAAACATCATTTCAAGTTTACCAACATTGAATATATTTTGATTAAATTATAGGGGAAATTAATATTTGGTAGAGTTTGATGATTCAAAGTCAGGGCAGTAACAGTGAGTGGCCAAGTGTTGTGGTTTAGTGGCCCAGTTTGCAAGGATTGTGGTTGTGTTTAGTGGACAATATTCTGTCGATTTTTGTCTCATAATGATGAGGGACATGCCCCCACAATGGTGAAAAGGAAGGTCGACATGTAAGAGTCAATATTTGGCAGAGTGGACTTGAAAATTCGAAGTCAGGGGGCAGTTACAGTGGCAGTTATGGTGTAGACGTGTGGGATCATGCAATGATGGGCCACAAAAACAGTATACGGATATCAAAACGAACGATCTCCCTTCTAGGCTTTCCAAGTATACAAAACCTCCACTTCTATCTGTCGATCTCCCTTTTCTTGTGTTTATTTCATGGCCACCAATTGTTTGAAACTTCTGTCGACAGAGCAAGGCTCCTGCTTTGTCTCATGCTTCCTCCTGAAAGTGTGCCCACTAACTTATAATGATGAGGGACATGCCCCCACAATGGTGAAAAGGAAGGTCACGGGGAAGAGTCAATATTTGGCAGAGGGGACTTGAAGATTCGAAGTCGGGGGCAGTTACAGTGGCAGTTATGGTGTAGACGTATGGGATCATGCAATGATGGGCCACAAAAATAGTATACGGATATCAAAACCAACGACCTCCCTTCTAAGCTTTCCAAGTATACTAAACCTCCACTTCTATCTGTCGATCTCCCTTTTCTTGTGTTTATTTCATGGCCAGAAGCTGTTTTAAACTTCTGTCGACAGAGCAAGGCTCCTGCTTTGTCTCATGCTTCCTCCTGAAAGTGTGCCCACTAACTCCATGATTGGTGCTAAAAACTTCCCCCATCACTTCTAGGTGACCCACATGCAGAGAGCCCACTTTGAAGTGGTGGACATTCCTTTAGACTTAGTCACGTGTCCTCGATTAAGTGGTCCATCTGTCGATAGAGACTGGCAAAACTTGGTGCAAAGAATGGCCCCCTTGTTCAAGTTAAATATCATATGAATTAACCTTGCAGAAGTGATTGGGACCCCCTCCAATCACCACCTGCACCCCCCCTCCCCCCACACACACACGTGGGGGCTGGTGATTGGAGGAGAAAGAAAGAAAAAAGAAATGTTTTTTTAAAAAACTGGCGAATCAAAGAGAGAGGGGTCATGGGGGTGCTCCCTTGTGGGGGTCCAAGTCATATGATATATAACTTCAACAAGGGGGCCATTGTTTGGGCCCAATAGCAAATTTATTAGTACGGGCCCCATCATAAGCTATAAAAGACCCACCCTTTCAACTTCAAACCACTTCATTTCCCTCTGATTTGAACTCCCCAGACTGTACTCCTTCTTCTCAAGCATTGCCGTTCAAAACCCGAGCACCACAAAACCCTAAGCCATGGCACCGAAAAAATCTCAACCATCACCATCTGAGGTGAACAATGAAGACCTACTCTACTTCCCAAACCCTATCAGAGCACGTATCGGTCCTCTAAAATTTGGTGCAACCCTATTGCCCAGCATAAGCTCTGTCGCTAAGGCTACTCTAGGTCCTACCTTCGCGTCTTACTTCCCAGACGAGCTAGCTCCATACTATCCCCTTGGTAATGGTGAGAACCTTCTTCTCAACCAACCTGGACTTAAGTGGACTAACTGGAATGTCAGCAAAAACCCACTCAGATCGTGGAGGCCACCAGACTCTGCTTGGCAAAGCTGGGCCAGGAGAATTGAAGGTCACGACAGTGAAGTATGGAAGCACCAGGGCATTAGTGAAGCAATTAGACTGTCGACTAAAAATTATGACATGGACAAAGGGCTGATTGCTGCTACTGCATGCTTTTGGTGGCAATCTTGTAACTCCCTACTCCTCAATTTTGGTATGATTTCCTCTACCATCTTAGATGTAGCTCACTTGACTGGTCTCCCAATCTTAGGCAATCCAATTCATGCTCTCCTTGAGCCTCCAAAAGTGAGCTTTACTTTAAACACTGACATGTGCTATACAGATTTCGCCCAAAAATACAAAGGCAAGCCTGGTTCCCCTGTCCACGACAAAGAAAGAACTACTTTTTACTTACTTTGGCTTTGTGAGTTTCTTTTTTGTGTCCCTAGGTACAAGATCACGAAAGAGTACCTCCCCCTTGCCTTGTGTATGCAAGATGGCCAACTTATGGCTTTAGCCCCTTATCTTCTTGCCACCCTTTACAAGGCCCTATTTTCCTTTGTCCACAAGAAGATTTCTAGCAACTGTGGTGGCCCCTTCTGGCTCTTCCAGGCATGGTTATATGCCTATTTCCCTGAGGCACGACCCCCACCAGCTAACACCGTGAAACCTGTTTTCTACTCTTATGCTGAGCAACTGCTCACTTATAACAGCCAACCCATCCTCACTTTCAGAAATCAGCTTACCATGTTTTACAACCTTCCTTCGAAGAGACCTTCCAACTTGTACATGCCATTTCAAAAATTTGAATTCTCCTCCAGCAGACTTCGCTTCCTCTTCGTAGACCCTTTTGATTTACACAATGAGCAAGTCCAAGAACAAAATGAGACTTGGAGACACATTCTCACCTCTAGACATGTTTTGGTTGGTTGTTCCATATCCTCCGCCAAGATGTCCAACTGCAGTTTTGAGACATACTGTCCCAATCAATAGGCCAGGCAATTAGGTCTTTCCCAAGGTATCCCTTATCCTTATTTCCACCCAACCATCCATGAGGAGATTGGCTCCAGAATCTTCTTCAAAGATCCTATGCAAGCTGAATCCATTTTGACAGAGAACACCAAACTTTTCCAAGATTTTGGCCCCTTCTTCTTTAAACCTGCTGCGGACTGCTTGACTGCTTTTAACCATTGGTGGGGACTTATGTCTGCCATTATTTTCTGCAAGCCACTTGAAACCTGCCTTCATGACACTTGTATTCATAATCAGGGCCCCATATCCTCACCTTCCAAGCTTAAGGCTGCAGGTATTCTTCCTTCATATACTTCATATCCCTGATTGTGTCATGCAATTTTTTTTTTTTTTCTCTACAACACTAACTTGTTTAACCTTTGACAGCCAAAATTGGGCCTGCTGCTGAACCATTGGTTAGGGACCAACATAAAGGCAAGGTTCTAATGGATGCAACTACTCAGATAAACACCCCCTCAGTTCCGAAATTAATGGCAGACTCTTTCGCAGCCGTGCAGACACAAGCACGGAAAGGAACTACCACCCGTACCCCTACTGAGACAGAGGTCACGGCAAAGAAGAGAGAAGAGCCTTCCACTGCTCCTGCTCTAAGTACAGACCTAAGTGATTGGGATATCCCTCTTAGCCAAATGGCTGGCCAAACAACATCAAATCCTTCAGGGTAGCTCTACCAAGTATGCCTTCACTTTACATATTTACATCATCTCAATTTCCATTCACGCCCGACTGATCACTTACTTTTGTGCAGAGA